CCATAGCTCGCCCCTGTTGCTAGCGCTGACGCTGCCATTGACATTGAAGATGTTCCTGCTCAAGTTTCTAACCCCCCCCCTTTCTGCCCCATCGCAATCTCACGCGCGCATCATCACCCTCTCCCTGCCCCCATCATCCTGCTGCTGTTCCTCCTCCTCATGCCGCTCCCCCCCCACCACCACCTCCTCACTTCGCCCCCCAGCGTCGACGAGGCAACGCCGGGGCAAACGAACCCCGCACAACGCGCACGAACACGCCACATGACTCGCGCATATGCCACGCAAGGCCTGCGAGGCAATGCGAGCAATCGCGCGAAAGTGTTGCATCCTCCCGGGCTACATGGGACATGCCCGCGCAATCATTTCTCACGGGGGGGCTGCGGGGATTGCGCCTTTCGCGCGGGAGGTGCAGTCAACGGCATGCTCTCTCTTTGGGGCCTCTACAGACGAGGCCCCCGAAAGCAACACAGCCCATGTTTGGAACGAGGCACCGTAAGAAACAACCACTGGGAATCGTCCTCGAGCAAGTTAGTGTAACTTGACGTGCGCCTAGATTTCCACATTGATAAATCATCAGGTGGGCACTGGCTGTAAGGTCGGCCTCTCCTCTGCGGCGATGATGGCGACAAATTCGAAAGCCAACGCAAAGCTGCTGGACACTGCAGAAAGTCCATCAAAAGAGGGTAACAGGACAAAGGCTTTCATAAGGTACGGGAGGCTCCCCCCAGTTCCGCAATCAATCCTGAGACTGCCAGGATCCCCGGTCATGACGAGCATGCGTAATCTTGTGGCGCTGGCTGCAAGCTCAACCTTGCGACCGCTGTCATCCTGCGCGAAAACATTCGGAACATGTTAAACAATAACGGGACACACGGTATCCCAGGCACTGAGCGAACGGAGAAACCCAAACAGTTGTGAAGCCAAGGAAGCTGGATGGCATCGTTTCTTGTATCGCTGCCTCCATAAGGCCGAGGCTCGCGGAGCAGCAACGCTTGTCAGGATACGGCTCAATGCGCGCGGCCTCTCCTGGGACATGGTTGACCAGAATTTGCGGAACATTCCGTCGATTGCTCCTGGAGAGCACCGGCTTGCCATCATGAGGAAACTTCTGAATGGAGAGCTTACGTCGCACAGGTTGGCGCCAGTGAATGGTAATTCGGCGTTGCCCTGCCCCTTCCGAGGCGCTGCCAATGGGGATTCGGTCAGCCACAGAGATGTTTGCCCTGAGCTTGCTTCTCTACAAGCCAGCTTCCCTACGCAGTGCGCTCAACTCACACCCCGTGACATGTGGCTCCAAAGCCTGCTTCCGAGCGCGTCCATCCTGCAATGTGTTTTGGCTTTCAATAATGCGGTTGCGCGCCTGCGTCGCCTGCGACTGGACGGGAGGCGCTTCCATTCCTTCGATGACTTGGTCCAGCACGCCAAACGTTTGTGCAATAACCCATGGTTAACGGGAACCCGGCCACCACGACACGGCAGGAACGGCGGCGGATGCGCGAGCAGCCGCCTGAGTTTGAAACATGTGTCATGGTCTATGCCTCTGACGGCGCATCGCGAAACCAAGGCACCGCAATCGAACGTCAGACCTCATACGGTTGTGTGCGGTATGTCGATGGGGCCGCAGAGTCGACGCTAGTTGTGGTTGCTTCTTGGGGGGTGTTAGCAATAACCATGCCGAATACGCGGGCATGTTAGAATGCATGCAGCACGCCAGGAATAACATCGCACCGTCTTGTGTTCCTTGTTGACTCCATGTTGGTAGGGAATCAAGTAAATTGCAAGTGGATGGGGAGATGCAGAGCGCGCTCCCTTCGGGAGCTGTAAGAGAGAGCGTTGGCATTGCTCTAGGCACTGCGACTCGAACCGTGTGTGCAATCGGCTCAGGTCCGGCGTGTATACCGGGAGTATAATACCGATGCGCACGGCGTGTGTAAGGAAGCTCTGGAGGCCGTCGTCGCCGGCGCCCCTCCAGTGGCAGAGGGTTGCCACGTGTGGACCAACTGGAGACTGTATGCGAGGTCTGCCTAGTGCCCCTGCCTACGCTATCGTTCTGAGCTGGGGTGCGGGCGCCTAGAGTGTGCTGCCGTGCGCAGGTCTCCCCCTCCCCGGCCCGCCCCGCTACTGTTTCTTAGCGGTCTCGCACTCTCCGCGTGGCGATTCTCACGCCACGGCGGACATATGAGGGGTATGTTTCTTCTGGAGGCGCTACCACAGCGAACCCCCTCAATCCAGACATCGGCACGTTGTCTCTGCATTGCGCCCTCAACCACAACAGTACCGCCTGTCTCACAGGCACAGTTATCGCAGCTACATCAACACGAATTCTTGGGACTACACCAGGCAAGCAACTGTTCCATGGCTGATTGTTGCGCTGGAAAAAATGTCCAGGATCCATGACCTTGGAGCATGTACACACCGAGTGAAGAGCGCGAGCCCGTACAGCTTTGACGCAAACACCGAATGATGAGCAGAGCAGGTGAAACGGGGGCGAGAAAAGATAGAGAACGGAGGTTGAGGAGTTGAGGAAGAGTGGAGACCGAGTAAGCTTGGGATGATTCCCCAACCCTCCTGTGTTGTGTTCTCGTTTTGAATACAGCACTGTTCTCGCAGACTTCCCTTCCTCCTCCTCCTCCTCCTCCTCCTCCTCCTCCTCCTCCTCCTCCTCTTGCTGTCTTCTGCCTCCTGCCTGCCTGCCCCCAACTGCACAGTGGCGCTCTGGGAGGTGTGCCATTTGCGTGGGCTCCTTGGAGGTCCCGCGGATGGGTGCCTTTCGCACATCCAGACCAGACCTCGCGTCTTTCGATCTGGGAGGGCTGCCACCTGCGTAACAGTTGCCACTTTTCTGGGCTCCTGGGAGGTGCCGCGGAGTGGTGTCTTACGCACATCCAAGCTAGACCTCGCGGCTCCCTGAGGGGCTGCCCCCTGCGCAGCTGTCTCCACTGTTGTGGGTTCCTGGGAGGTCCCGCGGGGTGGTGTCTTTTGCCAGACCTCGCTGCCCCCTGGGGGGCGGCACCTGCGCAACTGTCGCCCCCATCCGTGGGTTCCTGGGAGGTCCCGCGGAGCTGTCTCAAGCACTAGATCCCGTGCCTCTCCTTGGGGGGTGGTCACCTCCTCCCCTGGAGGCCACGCGCGCACGACATCTCAACGCTCGTTTGCATCAGCGGTTGTCCATCGGACCTGCGGGAAACATTATGACTTGCAGTGGCGTTCCTACCGTTCAACCCACGCACGCGCGGAATATGGACGTGGGTTCAGGCTCCACCCCCTCCTCGTCGCCTGCAGCGAACTCGGGCGAGTTGCCCTGGCCAGGAAATCGCAACAGCGTCCAGCTCAGGAGCGAACCAAGCAGACTTGGCGCACGGCGCTACTACTCTTACGAATAAGTGTCTCACCCAAACCTTCTCCTCCACCTCCTCCTCCTCCTCGTCCCCACCCTTCTGTCCGCTGATATTCAGTTCCTTGGCGTGTTCGTGGTTGTCATCCCTGTTGCGATCTGAGTTGCGAGAATGCGTGCGCGCTTGGGGGGGGGCGGTGTGTGCGGTTCGGCGTGTGTGGGCGAAGAGCTCAAGAAAGCCGGCTGCTAATTCTCAGTGTCAATACGTTGTCTAGTTGTAGAATTCCTATTGGAAATATCTTCGCGTTTAGAACGGCCTGGGTGCGTCCCAAGTAATTGCAAGAATCGTTGTTCCTCTGGAGCCGTGAGGCCTCCCTGGGCGGGATATAGACGATGTCGTGGGGCTTGGCTGATTTGGGTGGACGCGTGGGGGATTGCCTTGCGCCTCATGAACTAAGTGTGGGCTGCCCCTCTCAGTTCCCGTGCTGTCCGTTTCCCCGTGGGAGCGTTGTGGGTGCTACCCGCACCTTGGGAAGCATGAGAGCAGATATGCTCGGAGCGACATGGGAGTAATGTAGCCCGTCATGAGGTCGTGCACTGCAGTGTTGGAAATCTCTGGGCCATCTTGACACCGCCTGGAGGCCTCGACCGTGCCCCCTGGAGAGGTTCACGGAATAGGGAAAGGAAGGTGGAATGCGAGGATTCGGGGTCGGGGGGAAGGAACGGCAGGAGGACGCGGGAGAAAACGCAGAGCAGGCCGCTGAGGGGCCCTCCTGGAAGCGTCTCGGGGAGTCGTCGAAGCCTCTGAAGGGGCCTGTCGGGCGGTGGCTCTTGGGGACGTCTGTGAGTGGGGGGTGGGGGGTCGGAGCCTGCGCAAAGACCTATTGGGCGGTCTGGCGCCTTCTGAGGTCGTTTTGGGGGGGAATGTGAGGACTGTCTTGGGCGGTCTTGGGGGCTTCTTCGACCGTTCTGGACCGTCTTGGGACCACCCTGGGGGCCTCTCGGGCAATATTGGAGCCTTCTTCGGCAAGCTTGCAGCCCTCTTAGAGCCCTCGTGGGCCGTTTTGAAGCCATCTTGGAAGCTTCGCGGGCCGTCTTGGGCGGTCGGAAGCCCGAACCAGCGAGAACGCTAACATAAGCTTACACAATATGGAACATCAATGACTGGGGCATCTTCAGGCTCTCCTGGAGGTCCCCTTGTAGCACCCCGAGGCTGTATGTAGGAATTCTTGGGCTGCCTCGAAGACGTCGGCCCACCTTGGGGCCATCTTGGGCTATCTTGAGACCATCGTAGCCAACCCTGTCGGAAATGCTTTCCAGGCCGTCTGGGACCGTCTCGGGTCATCCGAGGGCTTCCTGAGCCCACCCGTATCGCCAGAGGTCGCGTGCTGCCGCGTTCCTGCGGTCTTGCGCAGGGCTGCCAGCGTTCCGCCCGTGGCCCAGGTCAGATGTCGAGGGGTCCCGTCCAGACCACCGAGGGGAGTACTAAAATGGACCCCTCCTCGAGGTTGAAGGAGAACACAACGATACGTAATTGAGTGGCCAACATTTCCTCTGTAAACCTCAGCTGCTTCTATCACACCGCTACTCCGGAAGCATCGTTCCCCTGTCTGCCCACCAGACCACGGACGAAAGCGGCCAAGCTCTCCCAACTCTCCCTGGTCGCCCGCTCAAGCCGCTGACCAAGACGACCCATGTCGATCTCGATCCTCTTCGCCTGTGCCGCTACAGATGCGAGGGGGGCGCGGGTGGGCGGTGGGCTTGGGGACTGGGAGGCCTTTAATGGGAGGCTTCCAGGCCTCGGAGGAGCGTGAACCCAGGGACTGGGTCCTGGACGGTCAGCGATGACGACCCTGACCCACGACAGAACACTCGAAACTTTGCCTATGCTGGACCGAACGCACCCGATGGCTCTCCGACGTGTCCTGGGGTGTTATGGCCAGGGAGGGCAGATTAGGGGCACGCAGAAGGCTGGGAAGAGAAGGCTATGGAGCGGAGAACAGCTTGTTCTGACCAAGAAGAGTCCGAGTACAACATGAATTTGCCTACGATGGAGGACGCGTGTCCCAGGTCAGTTGGACTGTTTATAGCCCGATGCGCCCTGTGAGACAAGACGTCGCCCGGAGAGCTCCGTGCGCGAAAACCAACCAATGAGGCGGGAAACACTACTGGTGACGAGCGGACACGGAAGAGTATAGTAGAGGGCAGGAAGGCCACATCCATAATCAACATTAAGCACCCCATGCAAGCGCAGCCCTTTAGCACACGCTTCTTTTGGTAAACACCACGGGACGTATTGTAAACGCCAGTAATGGGGGTCGGGGTGTTCTTTCCTCCCTTGATCTCACTCGAGCTGTGACCTCGTAACGAAAGGGCCGATGAAAGAAGAAGGGAAGCGTGGGTGGGGGCGGGAGGGAGGCGAAACGAAGCGGAGGACAAAGGAAGAAAAAGGAGGGGGGGAGAAAGGGGGAGGAGGCGAAAGGAAGGGCGCGACAATCGATCTTCCGAAGCACACATCGTCGGGAAAGCTACTACGGCTTGACAGCCCAGCCGGCCAAATCAAAAAGCACATGTCTTCCCAGACCCCCGGTGTTTTACAGAGGGCATGCGACATGGAAAAATGCAGCGCCCAGGGCCCCAGCTCCACACCCAAAATTTGAGACCCGCGCCACAGCGGGAGCGCGCACTGCGAGGAGAAAGGGGGGATAATAACAACTCGATACGATACTTGAACAGATCGATCGATCAAACCGAGCGAACCATCCAACCAACCCCAACCAACCCCAACCAACCGCCAAGCCGAACCCGGCCGAGCCTTCTGGCCAACCCCTCTGGCCAACCCTGGTCCGGGTAATCCTGCCTGTAAGGCATAAGATAAAAATATAAACAGAAGCTGTCAAACATCCAGGCGTAGTTCGGCGATCGGGGCTGGACTCCCCCGCCCTGGCGCGCGTAGCGCGCCGAGGGAGGCGCCAGAGGCGCTGTCAGGGGGCCTGGCGCGGATCCAAGAAATCCGTACGGACCTTCGAGCATATGTATATTAGCGTCGCTTTCGTAGTATTTCCCCATATCCTAAGATGGGGTTATTGTTGTTACTTGGACGCCTCCTACTCCTTCTTCCTCTTCCTCTTCTTCTTCTCCTCCTCCTCCTCATACCCAGACTTACTCATACACAGACTTACTCATACATTGACTTACTCATACTCAGACCTACTCATACTCAGACCTACTCATACTCAGACATACTCATACTCAGGCCTACTCATGCTCAGACCTACTCATACTCAGACCTACTCGTACTCGGACCTTCTGATTTTCTGACTTACTCATACCCAGACTTATTGACTTACTCATACCTAGACTCGCGCTCATTTTCACGGCCCTACAGGGGGCCGCCGAGGGAAATGACACGGTCCCGTTCGCGGCCGTTTTGTGGGGATGTCTCAAGCGGTTTGTTTGTGTTCTGTCCCAGCATCCTTCGCTTTCGGAGCAGATGTGGAAGATGTCTCGAGCGAGGCGCTCATTTTCACGCCCCTAAGGGGAGCCGCCGAAGGGTATGACACGGTCCCGTTCGCGGCCGTTTTGTGGGGATGTCTCAAGCAGTTTGCCGGTTTTCTGTCCCAACATTCTTCGCTTTCGGAGCAGATTTGGAGGATGTCTCGAGCGAGGCGCTCATTTTCACGCCCCTACAGGGGGCCGCCGAGGGATATGACACGGTCCCGTTCGCGGCCGTTTTGTGGGGATGTCTCAAGCGGTTTGTTTGTTTTCTGTCCCAGCATCCTTCGCATTCGGAGCAGATTTGGAGGATGTCTCGAGCGAGGCGCTCATGTTCACCCCCCAGGTGGGCCAGATGTTGAGGATGTCTCGTTCGTTTTGCGTGTTTTGGTGGCCAGACTCGTGGGCACAGGTTCTCCTCAGGATGCCACAGGATGCTCCAACAAGCTCCAGGAGGCCCCTGGGGACCACATGAGGTCCCAGGAGGCATCAGGAGGCCACAGAAAGACTCAAGAGGCCACAAGATGTCCCAAGAGGCTCCAGGAGGCCCCAGGAAGCTCCAGGAGGCCTCAGGAAGCCACAGGAGGCCACAGGAAGCGCCAGGAGACGTCGGAAGGCAACAGGAGGCCCCGAGAGGCCCCCGGAGCAAGAGGCCTCAGAAGGCAACAGGAGTGGCTCCAATCCCATGTGTTTTACGTATGCTCCTATAGATTGGGCCTCACCTGGAGCACGAATCCTTGACGTTATCCGTATGTTTATATAGGTTGCCCTTCTCCTGTGAACACAATCCTAGATGTTTTACTTATGCTCCTATATGTTGGGCCTCTCCTGGGGCACGAATCCTTGGTGCTTTACGTGTGTTCCTATCGATTGCCCTTCTCCTGTGGCTCTAACCCGCAATGTTTTATGTACGTCGGTTGCTATGTATTGGGCCTCTCCTGGGGCACGAAGCCTCCCTGGGAGGTCCCAGGAGGCCCCAGGAGGCCCCAAGAGGCTCCTGGAGGCCCCAGGAAGCCCCAGTAGGTTTCAGGAGGCCCCAGGAGGCCCCAGAGACGCGCTCGTACTACTGAAGCTCATTCACACTACAATTCATTCGCAATTAGATTCATGACAAGACCGCCACAACTGAAGCCCGTTTATATTCGAAAGCTCTTGCGCCTAGACATTCACGGCGGACAGGTCCATGCGAATAGATGCACCTATGGGGAGCTCCACGCAGTGAATCTTCGGTTTCGTGTTATTCGTTTCACGACTGCCATCAGTATCCTTATTCTTCTTCAGAGAGGGAAGGGAAGCGAAGCGAACGCTGGGATCGTGCGCGCTCCCTTGGGGAGCCCGCCCGTGCCCATTGGAGCACGGAGTGGAGGCCGTAGCCATCTTTGCGGGGCGGAGGTTCATACATAGGAGAGAACGCGTTTCGTGCACGCTTGCCGTGGAAGAACATCTGAACACGTGGAACCGCCACCCCCAAACAACAACTTCAGCACGCCCTGGGAACCAGAGGAGGGGGGTCCCCGAACGTCGGTTTACCTAGCAAGGGGTGGGGGGAGACCCTCCCTCCCTAACCCGGGGTGGGGGGGAGGCCCTCCAAAGGGGGGGGGTCGAACAGGGAGGGGGGCGGGGGCCCTGTCCAAAGATGGGCGGAGGGTCGAACCGCGGGGGAACCCCCCCGTGAGTTGCAAGGGGGGGGGGTCGAACCTGGGGGATGGGCGCCTCGCCTCTGCAAAGGGGGGGTGGTCGAACTGGGAGGGACCCCCCCTCTGCGTGATAGAAACCTACCAACGCTCGATCCCACTCGAATGGGATTATATTATATGACAGTGCAGCCCCACCTGAATCAGACTGAATTCTACTAAGGCTCGATCCAGCCTAATACAATCCTACTACATGTGGGCCCAGCTTTACTAGCATCCTGGTCGGGTGATCCTCCTCTAAAAGAATCCCATTATAGCTGGATCCAGCCCCAGTGGAACCCTACGAAGGGCTCGACCCAACTCTCACTGAAACCTACTATGAATCGATCCAACTGTAATTGCATCCTAATCGGGCTTGACCCTGACTAGATCCAGCTAGGTTGCATCCTGCTACAGCCCGATCCTACTTCGATCGGACACTCTTATAGCAAGGTCCAACTATAATTTAATCCTACTGGTGCTCGATCGAGAGTCGGGCGGGTCGGGTCGGTGGGTCATTAAATGCATGGTGGGCGCTTGCACTCTCGCTCGCTAGCTGGAGCAAGCACGCGAGCGAGAGAGCCGGGCGGGTCGGGTCGGGTCGGGCGGGCGGGACATTCAATGCATGGTGATTGCTTGCTCGCTCGCTCGCTCGAGGAAGCGATCGAGCGAGGGAAGCAGGGGGTCCTCTCGCTAGGTCGCTCGCTGTTGCAAGTGAAGGTCGGTTCGAACGGGTAGGACATTTAAATGCATGCTGCTCGTTTGCTCGCTCGCTCGCTCGCTCGCTCGAGCAAGGGAGTGATCGAGCGAGTCGGGCGGGTCGGGTCGGCCGGGCGGGACATTAAATGCATGGTGCTCGCGTGCTCGCCCACTCGCTCGCCCGAGCAAGCGAGCTCGCAGAGAGCGAGCGAGGGAAGCAAGGGATCGGTCCCCTCGCTCGCTCGCTTGGTCGAGTGAGCGACCGAGCAAGAAGCCTGGACCCTACTGGGGCTAGATCCGGTCATTATAAAGTGTTACTAGGGCTCGATCCAGTCTTTGTAGCAGACTACTAAGGATCGACCGTCGTCGTTGGCGTCGTCGTCGGCGTCGCCGTCGTCGTCCTCGTCGGCGTCGGCGTCGCCGTCGTCATCGTCCTCGTCATCGTTGTCGTCGTAGTCGTCGTCGTCGTCGTCGCCGTCGCCGTCGTCGTCGTCGTCGTCTTCGTCGTCTTCGTCGTCGTCATCGGCATCGTCGTCGTCGTTGTCGTTGTCGTTGTCGTCGTCGACGTCGTCGACGTCGTCATCGTCGTCATCGTAATCATCGGCATCGTCATCGTCGTCTTTGTCGTCGTCGTCGTCTTCGTCGTCGTCGTCGTCGTCGTCGGCATCGTCGTCGTCGTCGCTCTCGTTGTCGTTGTCGTCGTCGTCGTCGTCGTCGTCGTCGTCGTCGTCGTCGTCGTCGTCGTCGTCATTGTCGTCTTCGTCGTCGTCTTCGCCTTCGTCGTCGTTATCGTCGTCGTCATCGCTGCCCGACGGCGCCAGCGCCAGCGCTGGCGCTCGCCGTCGTCGGTTGCAGGGGGGGAGGCCCTCCCCTGGTTCGAACCCCTCCCGTTGCAATTCAGGGGAGGGGCCTGGTTCGAACCCCCCTTGAGACGGAGGGGGGGGGCGGTTCGAATACTCCCCCTACAATTGAGGAGGGGGCCCCCCCACTCGGTTCGAACCCTTCGAACACCCCCTTCCAAGCGTCCACAGAACGCGCCCTTTCATACATATCCCCCGCCTGTGGTACCAACATCTTGGGACTGCAGCGGGTGGTGGATCTGGGTATCGGAGGTTGGGGGGTGAGATCGCAGTGAAACGGAGACCCCCCACCGGGAAATCGGTTTCGGTTTCGTGTTCATGTCGCGCGTGCGGGCGAGGCGAAGCTGCGCGTGATCCTCCTGTAGCTAGGCCGAAGTAGGAGCGAAAGTCCGTTTCCCCTCCGCCGGTGGCCGGGAGGTGTCCCAGTTGGGCCAGGCGATGTCCCGGGTGTCCCGGGTGTCAGTAGGAGCGAAACTCCGTTTCCCGTCCGCTGGCGGCCGGGAGGTGTCCCAGTTGGGCAAGGGCGGTGTCCCAGGTGTCCCGGCGCTAACGCATGTCACTAACTTCATAATTCATTGTTTTTCGGCGCCTGCGGCGGGCTTTCTTATCCAATCCAGCTTATCTTATCCAATCCATCTTGTCCAATCCAATCCATCTTATCCTATCCAACCCATCTTGTCCCATCTTTTCTTATCCCACCCAATCCGATCCATCCAACACAATCCATCAATTCATTTGTTTCTGCGCCTGCGGCGGGCCAATACAATCCATCTTACCTTATCCAATACATCTCTTCCAATCCAACCCATCTTATCTGATCAAATCCATCTTATCACATCCAATCCAATCCACTCAACCCAATCCATCAATTCATGTTTGTCGGCGCCTGGGCGCGATCGCGGCAGACTGCGAGGCTTTGTTGTGGAGGGAGACTTTGATAGAGAGGGAGACTTTGATAGAGAGGGAGAGAGAGAGAGAGAGGGCGAGACAGAGAGAGAGGGACAGAGAGAGAGAGAGAGACAGAGAGAAAGAGAGATATGAGATCAAGGTGACAGGCTGGAGGTCAGTCAGGGTGGGCATTTGATCTCTCCCCCCCAACCTCCTTATCGCCCGCAGGGCGGTCGTATAGGTATTAGGCCCCAGGAGGTATTATTTTTTCCATATCAGCCGCCTGCCGACGTCCCCCCAAATGGATCCACCAGGATAAATCCCCGCCTCGGGAGTTCTTCCAGAGGGGGGGGGGAGGAGGGAGGGGGGGGGAGGGAGGGAGGAGGTAGGGAGGAGGTAGGGAGGGCGGGACACGAGGGATGGGGAGGGGGCAACGGAGGTGCCCGTGGTCCGCCGCCTTGACCGCGAGGAAGGCCCGGATGCCCGACCTGGAGAGGGGCGGGGCTGGGCGCGGGGGTTCGCGCCCGTGCGTAGGCCCAGGCTTGCGGCAGCCCCTGTCGGGTCCAGCGCGGCACGATCATCGGGACGCGCTGCCATTGCCCAATCGGTGTCTCCCCCCGCCCCGCGTCGCTTGCACGTAGGAGCAGTTCCCATGATTTTCAGCACCTGGCGCTGGCAGAGCTTGGCCCGCAGGGTACGCTCTTTTTCGGAGCAGGGAAAGTTTGAGCGCAACGTGAGCAAGAGGCGGTGCACGCGGAAAGGATGCAGGGACCTTGGAGGCCAAGCTGAAGCCTCTTGGGCGAACATGACCAGCGACAGTGGCCAAGGATGGGCCGAAGATGTATCGAAGAAAGGGTGCCCGTGGAAAGCTGCTCGTCCTTCTGATTCTGTTTGACTGTAGTGGGGCAACTTTCAAGCGTTCCCTCGGCGGTGGAACGCGGTGGTCGACCTGACGGGGTGAAACTAGCGTGAGGGGGCGCGCCCGTGCCTGGGCCCGGGCTTGCGATAGCCCCTGTCGAATGCGTACTACTGCAGGTTCGTGACGTGACGGCTTCGGCGTTGGTCTCTGACTCCGCGTGGATTGTTCAGCCTTGAGCGATCGCGGCTTCTCGATTGTGCAAGTCGTTCCACATCGGCCACCAGCGGCGTTCAAATTTGAGCGTCCGCGCTGGTGTCGCTGCCGCATCGACACGGCGCAAACCTACCGTAGCTTTCCAGCGTTCAAATGGAGAGAGCAGATGAAGAGTCGAAAGGGGGAACACGCGCGCACCGGACAGCCCCCTCACACGTCGGAAGACACAGCGAGGGAGCTCGCACAGCCACTGAAGAGTGCGTATAACAAGGGAAAGGAGGGGGAGCAGTAGGCGGCGTGGTAGCCGCTGCGGACCAGTACTCCCATGCATGGACCATGCTGCATCCAGCCAGCGCTGACGCAAGGATATCGTCCAGCAAGACCTTCACGTGCGCCTCTTCGAGCCGATCTGACGAAACCAAATTCTTACCCAACTACAGTAAGTGAAAAGTCCGACTCACCTCCTCCCCCTCCTCCCCCTCCTCCTCCTCCTCCTCCTCCTCCTCCTCCTCCTCCTCCCCCTCCTCCTCCTCCTCGCCCTTCTCAATCCCAATTCTCAGTCCCCCTTTCTCCTTGCTCCCGGCATCGGCCATATCCCGAGGGAGGGGCCCGCCAATACAGAACAAACGAAGAGTACGACGGAAGGGTCCAGCAACCAGCTGCAGATTTTGGGGAAATGTCCGATCAGAGAGGGATCAGTCGAGACAATGGCGGCCCGCCCTGGCGTTTTTCATCCTTTTCGCACTCCTTTTCGGACTCCTTTTGCCACGACTGGATCCGCCTTGAAAAACGGTCAGGATGACCCCCCCAGCATCCAGAGACGAAGCGACGCCAAACACGTCCACGGGGGTAACTTCTATCTGCTGTCGCCTGCTCAATAGCGAGAGCAAGAAAAGCAAGGTAGTTCAACGTCATGTCCAAGTTCTCCTTCTTCTCCTCCTCCTCCTCAGTAACTCCCGCCAGTTGTCTCCAACCGACGGAAAAACCCAAAACCGACCTATAGCGCTTCTCGACGTCACTCAAGCCGTCGATCGCTGCGCGCGCGGTGCTCCAAGAGGACTTGGCACCTGCGGGCAGGGGAAGGCAGCACGATGGGCTTTCTGTGTAATGGAGCCCTTGCCAATGTGAGGAGTGTGTGTGTTTCACCAGACAGACAAGCGAGGGCACATTATCCGGTCCCCTGTAAGCGCGGCGTGAAACCAATTGAATATATATATATATATATATATATATATACAAGACTGCAGTGGCGCTTCGCGCCATGCACCTTGGTCCTTGAACTTTGGCATGCAGGTGGAATAGCAAGAAGGTCAAGCCGACAATTTAGCGATAACTCCTGGTTGCCTTTTCTGGCATCGCCGCTATAATAATGTTTTTCGCTATCCTTCCTCCATGCTTCTTTTCCATTATTTTCGCCATGCCCTGCGCATTCTCCCCACCCTCCTCAGCTCTTTTTTGCGGAGGCTCCTCCTTGGAGAGCCTCTGGGAGCCTCACAAAAGTTGTTTCAGGCTTTCTTAAGGCCTTCTGGAGGCCTCCTGGGCGTACTCTGGGGGCCTCTGGGGGCTTCCTCGGGCCACCCTGCCTCCAACCGTGGTCTCCCTGACCGACCGAATCACGATTTGGAATTCTTCGGAAGGTGTCTTGGGGCTGTCTTGGGCCGCCATGGGGCTCGCTCTCTGAGGGCCATCTTGGACCCGTGGCCATCTTGGACCCGTGTTGTGCCGTTTTGGGGCTCTCTTGGACTGCCTGGAAGCCCTTTCGGATGGTTGTGGGGCGATTTGGGAGCCTCCCAAGCGGCTTCGGACGCCCAGAAGACCGCCGCCTTGGAGCGTCGGGAAGCCGAAAAGAGGAGAACCCTAAAATTCACCAAACACCCACAGAAAATCAATGATTGTTGCCTCGGGGGGCCCTCTTGGGAGTGCTCTTGGAGGCCTCTTTGGGGCCGTCCTGGAGGCCTCTTGGGCCATCTTGACGTCACGTCGGTCACTCTTGGAGCGCTCTTGTGCTGTCTTGGGGGTCTCTGGGACGTCTCCGATGACCCCCCTGATCGCCCTAGGTGTGCTGGGAAGGCTGGGCAAAACGCCATGTAAGGCCCGGTGGCCGCTTCGAGGCCCGTCTGGAGGGTCCCAAAACCCCAGATCCTGGGAATCCGTTTTTTTTTTGGGGGGGGGGTGATGGGTTTTCCCCCGCCCGGGCTTACAAACACATAGAAGAGGAATCTGCACATACATATATTCATATAGATACACACATACATACATACATACATACATACATACATACATACATACATACATACATACATATATATACACACATATAACTGTATATGTTGGGAGGAGCGAAAGGAGAAGCAGCAGCAGGATGTGGAGGTGGGACGGGAAGACGAGGACGACAAAGGGATGATGCGCCGCGCGGTGCACTCGGCTGCCACCACAGGCAGAAAACGGAGACGCGTCCTTTGCGGCTACCGATGTACAAATACTGGCACACGCCAGTGGAATTCCACGCAGCTGGGCGGAACGGGGGTTCGGGAGATGATTTGGATTGCGAGCGTGATTAACCACTGGGGCTGACACGAGAATGCGGCATCCAACTAGATGCATACGCTGGCTGTGGCAACTGGGAACGATGCAACAGTGCGTACATGCAGCACGGGCGCCAACGTTTGGTGCATCTCCCCGCCCCCGTCCTGTCCCCACATACCCCCAGCTTGGACGGAACTGCACGGGGCTGGCACGACTAATGGCCAGCTCGACGTAGCTCTCATTCTGCACCGAAAAGGGAAGGATAAGGGGCAAGACCGAGGGGGGGGTATGATAGGATCCGAGAGGAGAGAGTAACACTGGGACGCAAATCCAAAACTTCCAGCTCGGCAGGAGGGTAAACCGAGGGGGAGAGTCGCGAGTAGGCTGCCTGACCACGCCAACCCGACAGAGCTCCTATAAGGCGTTGCCGCACAAGGAACGTACAACAACAGTTCGTCTTCCTGAAAGGGGAAGGAGGAGGGAGGGCGCGGGAGGGCAAAACACCTGGGGAGCAGGTGAAATGGCCTGCGAAGGGCCGAAAAGGCAGCTGAGCGGGCGGGTGCGAGGCAGAGGCCAGCGGGAGCGCACGATGTTCGCACGCTCGACATGCGGCCCATGCCTGCACCAACGCTGCAAAGCGAACCTCGTCCCAGCCAGCAAACCGAAACTCCACTCTCCCCGCCCCCGCCCTGTCCCCAGTACCCCCAGATTGGACGGAACTGCACGGGGCTGGCACGACTAATGGCCAGCTCGACGTAGCTCTCATTCTGCACCGGAAGGGAAGGATAAGGAGCAAGACCGAGGGGAGGTATGATGACGAGAGAGAGGGAGAAGGCTGGTACTCAGACCGATCACTTCCTACCCTCGCGAGCGCAAGAAATAAGCCGCGTGGGGCACCACAACGGGAATTACCACACGGAAAGCTGTGCCAAGGTAAACGCAACCGCGTCGGACGACGTACATGAGCGAGAGGAGGAGAAATTTTCGCTTCAAACTACGCTTTTCACGGGATCCCACGTGCCAGAGCTGAAGTGGGTCAGGCGGCGCACGCATGCACCGTCAGGCTTGAAAGAATACAGACAAACAACAATAATATCCGACACAGCAGCGGTGCGAGATGCGAATCCAGACGAGAGCGAGCGCGGGGCCGCGCGCCCCAAAGCATGTTCGAACGTCCCCGCGCGGGACCAGCACGAGCCCGAAATGGGCCTCCAAAAAATCTGCCCCTGACCTGGCATCCCAGGTGACCCTCCAGGCCCAGAGAGTCCACGTGCGGAAGCACTCCACACAGGCCAACCAGCCCTTCCTGGCCGAAGACCCTAACATTTTGCACATCGCAGTACGTAGCACAAATGGTGGGCGGGATGGGGGGGGGGGGGGTCGAAGGAGCAGGGCAACTGATCATGACCCCCCCCCCCAGCTTAGGCACGTTATTTGGGCCCCCCCCCCCCCGCCCCGAACCCAGCGCTCATTCAGTCTCCTTCGAAGCAATGGGGAGCTGCGAACTGCGCCTTTTAATTGTAGCTTGCATGCCCGTCCTGGGCCTGGCCACTTCGGGCATCGGCTCGGCAGCGGCGCAGCCGAGTGGCAGAAAGTCGCCCTTCAAGGCCCGCAGGGTGCGGGCAAGGCGAGCAGCAAGTGGCCTCCGCACCACCTTGAACTTCTCCAGCGCGTCGGCCATGGCCGCGCCTGGAGCCTGCCAGAACTGCTCGCCCTCACGAATGTCGCTGTCGGTCATGATAGCACGCCTCTGGATCAGGACGCGCGTCTCGGCGTAGCGCGGGAGCGCGCTGGGTGTGTTCCAGCGGCCCCTCCTCCTCGCAACCTCCAGCCCCCCCCCCCCCGTTCGCCGCGAAGTGCGCGGCCCCCGCGTGCCGGAGGCCGTGCGGGGGGCCGAACTCCTCCAGCCCCAGCATGCTGAGGCTGGCGCCCCACTCCTTCCTGCACTTGTCTGGCGCGACGGGGAACGCGAGGTCGTCGGGGCCCAGGCCGTCGATCAGGCAATTCATGACCCCCTTCGCGAGCTGTCGTCAGCTCGACGCCCTGGCCCGAGCCCGTCTTGACCTTCTCGCTCCTGGAACGGTCTCCCAGGAGAAGCGCCATGCGGCCTGCTCACATCGCGCCTCCTGAAGCCTGCCCAGCCCTGCTCCCTCAGCCACCCGTCGGGCTGGACGACGACGGCGCGGGCCTCGAGCGGCAACCCGTGTCTGCGCAAGTCCGCCACGACCAGGGCAAACCCCTGGAGCGGGATGGGCTGCCCCTCCTGCGCCTGCTGCTGCCGCCCCCACGCCTTGAGAGCCCTCGCGGAGAGCGGCAAGAAATTGCGATGATCCTGAAAGATGTGCATAAAGCCATTGAATGTCACGCTGCCGCCCCCGTATCCAAGTCCGCGAGCGTGACGCTGATCCGCAAGGTATGCTGCTGAAGCCTTGTCGCGCTGGTGCACCGTCTCGAAGGGGACACCCAAGCGCTTGGCATCGATGAGGAGCTCTCTGACGGCCTTCTCGCACGCGAGGTTGGTCTCGTCGTCGAACGCGTGGGTCGCCAATCTGTCATTGAACTCCAACTTGTCGTTGGGTGCGTTCGTCCAGGCAAACGCGCCTCTGGTCTTCAGCGGCGGTGGCCTCGATGATGGACGGACTGCCCCGACGGAGTGCACTAAACCAAAGAGAAGCAGGAGGGCCCAAGAAGACCGTGACCTCGCCGCCGTGCCCCCAGGGGAGCGATGCACGAGGGCCCACCCCTCGGGCCCGTCCAACGCGTCAGGCTTCACCCAAGAAACGTCGCCGCCGTCATCGCAGGACCCCGCAATGCGCGTCCCGATCAGATCCTTCCGGGCGTCGCCCACAGCGCCTTCGGGGTGGGCCGCCATTTGTGCCCCTCCTTCGTCGCCTCCGCTGATCCGATGCCCAGCCCCCGACTCGGTCCATCGGTCGCGTTGTCCTCCGAGGTGGCCCACCTCAGGCGCAGCTTGGCGCCGCAGACGAGCTCCGCCGCCGCGGCCTGCCTCGCCAGATGCAGTAAGCCAGCCGCTGATGAACGTCCCTTCGCCAAGACTCCCGTGGATGCCAAAGAGTCCGAGAACGCCAGCGCCCTCTTGCCCCGGCAAGGCCGCGATCGGGAAAGGTGACGAAGCAGTGCAACGGTCGCGCGCAGCTCGAGGATGTCGCTGCGCCCCTCCTCGGCCCACTTCCCTTGGGAGCAAGGTCCATCTCAAAACTGTCGTCCGCGAAGCGCAGGCGGGCTGCGCCTGCCCCCTCGCGCGCGCGATCTTCAGCTGACCCCGCTCGATCCCCCCCCGTGCCCCCGCGGTGACCCTGCGCCAGTCGGGCGAGATCTCCGTCGCTATCTCGCAGTGCACTTGCCGCCAAACAGCTCCGTAGCTGCAGTCCGCCTCCACTGTGTGTGAAGAGGTCCCAAGCTCTTTCGCGCTGCTGAGCCTCGAGAACCGCTCGCCGTTCGTCGCTAGCAGCCCCCCCCCCCCAGCGCGAGTTGCCTCAGGTGTAGCCGTGGACCCCGTCCAGCTCAAAAAAATCGG